GTGTGCATATCCTGGATGTTTAACGATGTCACGCGTGACGTAATGCGTGGGGCATCTCAGAGATAGTACAAGACGGGCATTTGTGGGTAAAAAGTATATAATTTTTATTTATTTTAAGAAAATGAGCGATCGTTTCACTAGATAAGACCCTTATTTCTCGACTGGGATCGTGTCGAGACTTTGAAGCTGCATTGAGACTCACATTTGGACCTTCAACCGTTTGGACCCCATTGAAGTCCATTGTATGGAGAAAAATCCTGGAATCCTTTCCTCAAAAACCTTCATTTCTTTTCGACTGAAGAAAGAAAGACATGGACATCTTGGATGACATGGGGGTGAGTACATTATCAGGAAATTTTTATTTGAAAGTGAACTACTCCTTTACGGTGTCATTGTTATATTGTAATTATATATTTAAGTACTGAGTAATATTGACTACATACTTACTATATGGTTAGGATTAGGTTTGTTTTAGGGTTAGTTACATAATTTATAGAAACGTGTAACAAGGACACTAAAATAAAGTTAACGAAATCTCTAATATGAGTTTTGTAGGCTCATAACGACACCAGCGGTAACCTGGATATGTCGTCAGATGAAAGGGGAATCTGACCCGTCTTTGATGTGTTCTGAGTTTCCGGACTCTGACAGAAGCCTGAAGTCTCTCATCATCTCGTCTGATTCCTCTGGTCAGTCAGTGTTTGTATGCAAGTGTGACCCGGGGGTCATGAGATGAAGTCAGCCCGCAGAAACAGGGCCAGTTCTCTGACTATAATCTCGCCCTGCAGTGTGTGTTAATTAGCGTCTCTGCCGGGGCTTCCCGAGTCTTTAATTGATTGATCGGTGTGTGTGTGTGTGTGTGTGTAGTTCTCCGGTCTGCTCTCTCTGCTCACCCAATCCGTCACACCACTGCTCATGCGGACAGCAGCACTACATTACAGCATCGTTAGCTCAGAGATCTCCTGAGCCCCGCTCTCAACACACACCATTACCAAATCCCACAAGAGTCGCTCTTTCTCCTATTATATCTGTCTGTCTTTCTCCGCGTCCCTCGTTGGACTCCGAGCGGAAGTTAATGGATGCTCTTTTTCTGTCCCATATAAAGTTTCAGGCGACACTGTTTGGGATACTTTCAAGAGAGACGTCAATATTTGCTTTCACGTCACTTTGTTAGAGGAATAACCTATGCAGTTTAAGATCTATTTGTGGCTTAATGCATTTTTTATTTATTAAAAAGTGTGTTTATGCTAATGCATATTGAAGTCTATAGGGCAAGACATTGCATCTGGATTAAGATTAAAATAAACACATCATGTTCATAAGAGACTAGAGTGATAAAATCACTTACTTTCTTTGTGCGTGCAATGTTATATCAGATATTTCAATGCATTTACATTTAAGAGCAAACATACGAACCTAAAACATAGAAATGACACTTAATCTTTAAATAGATCTTAAAATATCCAATATTTAATGTCTGGTACCAATAAATTTAAATAAATATTTTCTTTATATTTTATACTTCGTATAAAATTAATACTTGCTTACCAGAGAATTTCAACTATACAGAAAAAAATTACAAATATTTTCTTTAGAATTTTGTATTTCATTGCCTCATAATGTGACACTTTTATCCAAATCAAGAAGCAATTCTTCCTGGGAGTTTAGTAACATGAGAAGTGCCTCTACAGACGTAGATGAGGCAATATTATCTGGATATCAACTCAGTATAAAACCAATAAACACTGAGACAAATCCATATACACAGGAATAATGTCAGAAATGCATAAAAAAAAGTTAATTTGCACAAAAAAATCACCTTTTTTTTCACCACAAATAACAAAAAGCAGCAAATTTAGGCTTTCACTGTAAATCCTCTGGTACACTTGCCCATATAGACTTCCACTGTAAAAGCATTAGTGTCAAGTTTTTACCAACTGAGGGACAAGTCAAAATTATTTGGTCGCTGGCAATCAACAGCTTATCAATAAATGTCTGCGGTAAACAAACCATGCAAATATATGATTGAAAACATTTCGACTGGCCTTGCATGTGAAATTAGTCTAATCTTTTTTAAACATACCGCTCCAGAAAGCATGCACATTTTAATTGTCTTGTATCATTTAAAGCACATGCAGTTCTCTCAGAAGGTCACTAGGGTCGTGCCTTTACAATGCCTTTCAAATCAAACCTCTGGCAATTTCTCTTTTGTGCGCGCTCAGACTTCAACGCCTTTTTCCCCGTCGTTTTCTTTTTCATCCTCAGGCTATTCCTCCTAAGGCTATTTTCCCTTCTATTTTATTTCTCAGAGAGAATACGAAATTCCAGCTATCAGAAACAGGAGATCAAACAAGGCCTCGGCTGAATTCACTGTCAGAATAAAACCATTTGTTCCTGAGGCTTTTACTCCGAAGATCTCGTCCCTGGACCGTTTCCTTCTTCATGTGTGTGTTTTATGTGGTTTAGGCAGTCGTTCCTCTGGGTCGGTCTGCCACTGTTCATTTGAGAAAACATGGCGGTTTACTCCAGAACCTGCTCAGTATGCACAATACGTGCCTTCAGTTCTCTTAAAGGAGCCCACTCTCAAATGAAATGAAAAGGAAAACTATTTCTAAACTCATGTGACTGCTGTGGACTGTTGCCTGACATGTGGCGTTCAAGAGAGAAATGCTAAACACTGCCATCACAAAATCTAGAAAGGTCCAACTAGTCGTCAAACAACATTTCAAAATCTGCCCCATTTCAACGTTACCTTCATAATTGCCGTCAGCAATGTTCCCATCTTTATTCAAAACCTATTTGTCAGAGGACTGTGATATCCAGCTGAACTCTTCAGTAAAAGTCTTTAACACTTTCCCCGCCATTGACCGAATTTTCCGGCTTTTCACACTGTTATACGGTAGGGGGCGCTATGGCACGTCTTCTGAAAGAGTACTATCTCCGGATCAAAACAAAGGTGATAAGAGAAACAGAAACGAGCTATAGCATATGAAAGCAGATGCATATGTAAAATAACGTGATCATCAACATTAAACAGCGTATAAATCAAAACTGCCTAATGTTACCGAATGAAATGTCGACCCAGGACTGAGCAAGCTTGGGTGTTGTTGATGGACTCGATCTACTCCATCTGTGTTTTGATCATCGTTCTGAATCTGATCCAGACATAGTCTTTGAAAAAAACATGATTTTCAAAATGTTGCTTTTTTTATGAAACTTACCCACATTCAAGTGTTGATAAAAGAGCTTAATGCTTTAAAGGATTAGTTCACTTTTAAAAAAAACTTTTGCTGATAATTTACTCACCCCCATGTCATCCAAGATGTCCATGTCTTTCTTTCTTCAGTCGAAAAGAAATTAAGGTTTTTGATGAAAACATTCCAGGATTTTTCTCCATATAATGCACTTTGCTGGGCACCAAACGGTTCAAGGTCCAAAAGACAGTTTCAGGGCAAACTGTTCAAAGGGCTTTAAACGACACCAGACGATGAATAATGGTCTTATCAAGCGAAACGATCGCTCATTTAAAAAAGAAATAACAAAGTTTAAGTTTAATAATGTCAAATGCTCGCCTTGCTCTGTTCTGAGATGCACGCTCGTGACTCTCCTGTTCGAACTCGTTCATCAAAATGAACAAATCTTTTTTCGAGTCATTTGGTTCATTTAACGAACGAAATGAACGAATTGACTCGGAAAAAGATTCGTTCATTTTGATGAACGAGTTCGAACAGGAGAGTCACACAGAACAGAGCAAGGCGAGCATTTGAGCTTATAAAACTTAAACTTTGTTATTTCTTTTTTAAATGAGCGATCGTTTCGCTTGATAAGACCCTTATTCATCATTTGGTGTCGTTTAAAGCCCTTTGAACAGTTGGCCCTGAAACTGTCTTTTGGACCTTGAACCGTTTGGTGCCCAGCAAAGTGCATTATATGGAGAAAAATCCTGGAATGTTTTCATCAAAAACCTTAATTTCTTTTCGACTGAAGAAAGAAAGACATGGACATCTTGGATGACATGGGGGTGAGTAAATTATCAGCAAAAGTTTTTTTAAATGTGAACTAATCCTTTAAGCTTTGTTTTTTTGGAGGGGGTCTGTTCTTCCTTCATATATATCCTCTGATATTATTACAAGAAAATGTTCTGGGGGCTATGAAATATTTGGGAAAATGATAAAAAAATGCATCAAAAATGCTGACGCTGGCGGGAAAGAGTTAAAAGCATTAAACTATTAGTAGAGAGTTCTTCACAAATGTCCTGCGTGTAGAATGAAGAACCAAACAACACTGTAGTAGAAAAACAACAATATTGTATTTCATTAAAAATGTACAAAAGTTATCTACATGATCCAGCCTTGTAAAAGGAATCTGTGCACAACAGGACAGTTTAAACGTATGTCTGTATATTGAGTTGTCCAAGATAATCAGTTGTGCGATTCTCTCAGAGAGAGTTTAGTTCAGTTTCGTTAAAGCGCTGTTACGTTCCTGCGATTCCATTCTGGTCTTCAATAATTCAAAACAAAGCAAGAGGTATTTCTGATTCCGAACCACACTTTCACCTGTCAAGCTTTACATTTCATAATATTTTATCTGCATATTCATTCGGATCCTTTCTTCAGTCTAGTACAAACAAGGATATGAAGCATAATATTACATTTAATTTACAGAATGTACAAAAGCGTCTCCATTGAAGAGGCCCGAAAAGATACAGTCCCGTTCTGCTCGAGTAATGTAATTCCTGCATATGCTTGTGTGCACAGCGAGGCACTTGTTTCTTGCGTTCATGTCGTCAGTTCAGAAGTCGTATAAAAATACAGGACTGTCGCATATCAAATTCTCTGTCTGTTCATATACTGTGTGTGCTGTACATACACAGGTCTAAGGCAAAGTATGGCTTCTTGAGCAAAACAAAAAGATGTCACCAAACTAATACTATACAGAATAATACGCTTTTAAAAAGGATTTAAAAAATGTCAATGCAATATTATGTCACACAGGTCTCTCCTATGACATCATATCGAGGAACTTGCTTTCCTCTGCGAGCGCAGTCAGCATGGAGCTCATGTCTCCGATGGCCATGTTGCCGATTCCCGCAGGCACCGGGGGCAACGTCACTGAGTTTCTGGGAGTGGTGAGACGGGAGGAATTCTGGGATAGGCTGCGGAGGAGGCTGGGGCTTAAAGTTCCTGATATGAGGCTGGAGTGGTCGCCGTCATCCAGCATGGCGTCGAAGTCGATCTGCGGGTGCTCTGCTCCGTTTGAATCCACTGTGCTCGAGACCTGATTTGTTTCTGGGGAGCCCATGACTGTGCTTTCGGTCCCGATTTGCACTGCATCTGTCATCTCAAGACTGCTGGACTCGAACATGCGAATCTGTCCAGTGTAAAAAATACCATTGGTATCTGTGTCGTCAGCCGATTTTTTAGGACTGGCCTCAGAGGTGTCATATGCAGGGCTAAAGTTGGATTGTGGGTAACCAAGTTGCTGCGCTGCAGTTGTCGTTGGCACCGAGAGCTGCCGGCTGTAGCGTTTGGCTTCTGTGGGCGGCCTTGGCTGTAGCAGTCCATGGTTTCCGTTCAGCGTGGGATTCTGGGCTGGAATGACATAGCCTTGCTGGTTGATGCTCATCTGGGAATAATTTCCATGATTATTTCCATGAAAAGTGGCATGGCTTTGACTAGCCACCGGCTGAGCTCGTACCCTGTTATTCTGGACACTGCCAGACTGTGCCGTCAGCGCTTTACCAGACGGGCTCAGCAAACCTCCACTGATATCATTTGAAGCAGAACCCTCATGGTAACCATGCTGAAAGATATCCTGATCTGTGTTAGCCTGTCGTAGTGGTTGCCTATGGTTGACCCTCTGTGAATTAAACTCGTTATTCCGTTGCACGTGGGCAGCGTGAGCGAGGTTGTGACTCATTAGCCCAACTTGTTGGTTGGAGTTGACGTTCTGAAAGGAGCTGAGGTTTTGTTTTTGTTGGAGTGCGGTGAGGTTTCCCCGCCCTGATCCCTGCTTGGTTTGGCTGTGAGATGAATCCACTGTCCCTGAACTGACCTCGTTCCACTGCACCGGCATCTGGCTCTTAGTGGCGTTGGGTGAACCTGGGAATGTCTGCTGAGAGCTTGGAGCTGCCGTTTGTTGTGTTGCGCCATTCGTGTTGCCTTCCACCAAGGCCAGGCGTCTCTGGTAATGACACTGTTGCAGGGACCCAAAGCCATGGAGGCCTTCACCAGGATAGTGGCGGTACGTTATCCCTGGATGTTGGGTGGAATCTCCATTCTGAGATGTAAGGTACTGAACAATGTCATCGTGTAACATCATTGCATCATTGTTCTGGTTGTCCATGTCACTCGCCATGGTTTCCATTGCCACGTTCTCAGAAATGCTAGGAGGTCGGGGTGGATATTGGTGGCGGTTTACGTTACCCTCAGACAGGCTGTTGATCTGTGAAAAGTGTCGGCTGGATCCAGGATGATGCAACGACGGACATTGGTTCACATTGGTCATGCTATTGTAACGTTGCTGGAGGGAATACTGCTCTGGACCTACTCTTCTAACTGGGTCGCTTGCTCTGCGAGTGATGTTTCCCGTCACCTCATGGGGCAAGACGCTACGGTTGGCGTAGCTGGTATCACTACACCTTCTGGGAACTGAAGGGGGATGGATGGGGAGTGTGGACATTTCATGGGAATCCCCGAATAGGGCCATCCGAGTCTTCAGGCTCATAAAGTCCATATTAGGTAGAGGGGTTGGTGGCGCGCCGCCTGTGGCAGCAGCATATTTGGCTTTGAGTCTGTAGTGTTGGGCAGGAGTCAGACTGAGTAGACTGGGGATTCCTCCACAATGGCTGGCCTCACTGGACCTTCTAGACAAATCAGTGGAAATGGGGTCATAGGAGCCGGTAGAGCTGATGTTAAGCCGCCCACCAGTTTGTGAGGTTTGGCTGGACCGACGGCTTGAATAGCAGGGCGAGATCCCGGAAGAACGACGGCTAAGGTTGTAAGCCGAGCTCACGTTGCTGGCCAGACTGTCCCGACGCTCGACCAGTTGACTTAGAACCGTAGTCTCACCAGGACAAAGATCGCCCAGGCGCGGGCTGGAGATGGAAAGCCCTGGATCACACAGACTGCCAGAACTTTCCAATAAAGAACCTGCAACAGAAAAGAGCTGAATTTAGACAGGGTTCGTACAGATACTGTAAAATGAAATTCCAGGACTTTCAAAAGGACTTTTCAAGCACCACTTTTTTGGCTTTCAAGGACTACAATGGGAGATCTCGCTTAAAAAAACAATATCTTTATCATCTTTCAAATTCTAAAAAAGGATTAATAAAAATAAACCAGTAAAACAAAATGGTACAAATAAAGTGCAGTGACTGCGGTAACTTTAACGATTGAAAGGATACTATCTATACAAAGATATCGCTTTCCTCTTTCAAACTTTTTTCCCCCCATTAATGTATGATTGACCTAAAGAATTAAAAGCTGCATCGTATACTATCACGCTCATAGCCATGCGAAATTGCTCTATATGTATATCAGACGGGCCGCAGCGTTAATTTAGCATTTTTTATCGATAAAATTAAACGCTACTCACATATATTGTCTTTCAATAATTCAAGCACCTTTCAAGTACCTTTTCATAAAAATGGCTGTTTTCCAGGACTTAAATTTTAAAAAGTCAAATTCAAGTACTTCAAGCACCCAGTCAGTGCGAACCCTGTTTAGAGGAAGAAAAACTGGATTTTGGGAGTGCATCAGTGGTGGAAATGTGATCAAATTAAAAATTCGTTTTGGTTTGTTTACTCACTGGTATTGATGGGTGGAAGCTTGGTGCTGGGGGCAGGAGGAGTTGGGTTTGCCCAGGAGCACGAGTCCCTCACCGACTTCAGCTTTTCTTGCTTCAGATACGTGAGTCTGTGGGCAGGGCTGGTGTTCTTGCGAAGATGGAGGCCCAACATCCCTGTGGAGACGGTTGAATCCACAAGGGGCGCGTCATCCAGGGCACTCAGATCTCCCATGCTGCCCCCGCTGAGTCCCATCGGCTCTACTCCACCGTCATGGTGGGCGGCACTGCCAAGTGGTGACGGCTCGCTGCTACATGATGACTGACCACCAGGGCTGGACTGATACATCTGAGAGAGACAGATGGGAAGTTTGAGTTTGATTACCTTAGAAGCTAAACGAAGAGAATGACCCAGAATGCAGACACAGCATCATGCAAAACACACGACCCTTACAATCACTTTCCCAAGTGTAAATTGCAAATAATGAGCATACTGATTCGAGGTTTGGGAAAACACCCTTCCTCAAGACATCCCACTTCTTTTTCCTCCCCCTCGCGATCTTCTCAGAAAGCTACATTAAGTGCCTGACAAATCGTTATTTCCTATGGCAACCTCTTTGTGCATTATGCATGTGGCCTGGCATGAATACACAAAGGGGAAAGCTCTCAACATAAATAAGGTAAGCTATGTCTTTGTATTCACGTCATATGACTGCACATCCCTTGAATGAAGCAAATGTATTCTGTCCCCACGTGAACCGTGCTTGATCACAGCTTGATCACTGGCACTATTTGTTCAGGACACAAAAACAGTCCCACTGATATAATATTAATCCATTAATGGCTTTTATCCTTGAGTGGCAGGCGGGAGCGTTAGATCTCGGGATTGTGGGGGGATTGGGCTGGATATGTAGGGTGAAAGCCCATGGGAAATTAGGGGCCCTCTGTGTGTCAACAGATCTCGTAATGTAGGGGTCCACATTATTTGACGCAGTGATGAATTCAACACCCAGATATCATACTGTATCATGAATTTGATCTTACAGCTCTGTGTGTGAGCTTTTCATGGAACAACCTCAGAAAAAAAGAAAATAATTTGTAAAAAAAAAGAAAAAAAAAAAGAGAGAGAATCATGTATGAGACATTTACCATGCATTCTGTAAAAGTGCAGTTGACATGACATGGAATTCGACTGTGCTTAAACAAAAACCTTTGTTTTACTTTATAGTTTCATAATTTTGCTGGCCAGCTGAAAGCACAGATTTTTCCCATGAAATTACATCTGTGGGGTGACTGTCCTCTTCATAAGCTGTGAAACATCAAAATTAAAAAAACGTGGAAAGAAATATGATTTAAAAATGCTGGCAATTTTCAAATTAAAGGTCGATTAAAATTAAAATAAACTGGTCATGCATTTACCAGGGTGTCTGTCTACAGATATAAACAAGTTCAATTTGAGACTTTTTAAGACCACTTTGAATTAAATTTAAGACCAAACCTGTGATGGAAATACACATTATATTACAAACGTATATGTAATATTTAATGTATAACCTAAGTAATTGAAGTAATTTAATATTAACTACTTGTTTATTGAACTAAAATCAATGTTACATTTGGCAATCGTGAGAATATTCAGCAAAATAGCTCCCGTCATGTTATGTTACTTAACTTTATCATATGTTATAAATAAAAAAAACTCAACATTGTGAATTTTTACCTTAGTATGTTTCTTCTGTGAGTTATATGCTCGTTTGTTTTGATTTCTCACTATAAAGTCTCTCACAGAGACAGGCGAGTCTCGACAGCGCTACCAGAAACACATTATGATTATCAATCGCTGTTTATGTAATAAAATCAGAATCATTCTCGCGATTCGATGCTTCACTGGTTATTTGATGGACATTGGGTCCGTCAGACTGGAGACATTTTAGCGGTAATGTGACCAGAAATATTTAAGACCCATCGAATCTGAATTTAAGACTTTTTAAGGACCTGCGGCCACCCTGATTTACATATTACAGTTTTACTGTATACGTGCGGTCAAATCAATTAATCACATCTAACATAAAAGTTAGTTTATATAATATGTGTGTGTGTGTGTGTGTATTAGGACACTAACCGGAAGTAAATAATTTTCAAACTTGCAAGTTTAAAAAGAGGAAGATAAATGTGTCATGTTTATGTCCAACTACTTCAATATATTTTTGTTTTCTGAAGGAGATGAATATGGATGTTTGGCAAAAAAGGTCAAAATCCATGTCACTTGTCAACTGCCCAATGCAACTGATATTAAGACATTAGGATCCACGCTCACCTCAGTAACGTCTGTCCTTACGGAAAGTGTATGGGAGAGAAACAGGAAAGATAGCAGGAAGCACACGTAGAGAGAGCGGTTAAAGATGGACAGATACAGCGTGCTTTGTTAGTATGTTTGGATTAGCATAACCTCAGATGGACATTTTAATGTATATTTAATCAGCAATGAATAATATATTTGAGAGTACAGATTATAGCCATGCAACCAGTCTTGTTATTCAAATTACATCCATTTTGTTATGCATTCAATCAGATCAAATAGGCCAGAAACATACTTTATGCACGTATGCAAACACTACGGTACACTCATTCACACTAGATCTTACCATAGAGTTCTCTGTCTTTATAGACTTGACCTGCAGATAGTCCTCGACGACTCTGGTCGTGCTGTTGGCTTCGAGTTTCTCTTCAGCCGTTCGCCCCGACAGCTTGGTTCCCGCTTCGTTCTCTCCGTTTTCCTTAGGCGGATGGGGTCGCGACGGAAGGTCACCGCGCTGCTTCTTGGTGACGTGAGCTTCGGGCCCGTGGACGGTTTTGACGTGTTTCCGAAGCGAGCTGGGATCGGTGTAGCGCTTCGTGCAGCCCGGGATCTTACACACGTAGGGTTTCTGCGGAGATAAATATCTCTCAGTTTCACATGACCCTCTAACAGTCAAATGTACGACTTTGAATTAGAGTTTTATCTCTTCCTGTTAAGTCAGATTATCTTCAAATGGAGCAGTGGATGAATACACAATTAGAGGAATAAATTACGGAGCGTGTGCTGACATACTGATTGTGCGAATGCTAAGCGTTCGTGATGCATGGCTGTTTACTAATAAAGTTGAGATGAAATGATCTTTCTCCCTCCTTTAGCTCGTGATGGATCAGACGGCGCCAGGTTTCATTTTCTATGCGCGGTCTGCAGGTGGTCTGTTTCTCCGTTGGGGACGTGCTTGATTCTCACTAATGTATTGTGGGTTGCCGTACTCATTAGCTTCACAGCTCATTATTCACACACACACACACACATTGTGCACACTTGCATGCGTTGCTGGTTAATGGGACAACGTTGGGCGTCCAGGAGCAATCACTACACATGATGAGGGAATGCGTGAACAAATCTAATTTTGGCCTAAATTTGTTAGTGTATGCTGAAAATGGCACATTTACATAGCATTAGGCGGTTAGCAGATCCTTAATGCCACAGTGAAGTAGATTATCTGATCCTCTCTCTGAAGAACCACTACTGGGGCGGCACACGTCTGAAACTCGCGCGCGGATGACGCTAACTGATCTAATGCAGTCCGCCCACGTTCATAGGAATAGCTCACCCAGAAATGAAAATATGCTTATAAGATGCTCACCCTCTGGTTAGTAGTTTTAATAACTCTGTGTGAGGAACAAACTGAAATTTAAGTTGTTTTTTTAGGTTAATCTTATGGTCACCATTCACTTTCATTGTATGTAAATGAGCAGCTTGAATGTCACATCATTTGTCAAGATGAAGTCTAGGTCACTCCAATATAAAAAATAAATAAATTACCCAGTTCTAATTACCATAATGAAAAAAGAAAAAAATTCTAATTTGTATTACTGAAATGCAAAAATATTAAAATATTATTTTACATATTTTTATTTATTTTCAATGAACAATTTATGGTTATTCATATATATATATATATATATATTAGAGGTGGGCATAGATTAATTTTTTTTAATCTAGATTAATCTAGATTAATATTGAAATTAATCTAGATTAATCTAGATTAAAATGGCTCATTTGAATTCTCCCGAAGGCATTCAGAATATGTGTGCTACCCAAATAATGACTAAAAGTAAGTCTTTGAGAATAGTTTGCCTCGCGTAGGGATGTGCATTTCTGCCAAAAATGCCATTCGACAATCGAGGAGCAAAAGTCGAATATCGTAAAAAAAAAAAAAAAAAACGCAATGACAGAAAGGGAGGCCAATTTCATCTTTAGCGATTTGTCATCAAACAAACTGTTTATTAATTGAACAAGTAACATGTTTTCGGCCTTTTTTTAACATAGTAGGCTAATTGGAAGAAAAGAAAAAACAATACGCACGACAGTCCTTTTTTCGCATCGCCAATGCTCGTTAGATCAAAAAATAATGTCATCATATGTCATAAGAATTTTATGTGAACCTGCCTTGTTACTGCAATAGCCTCATTTTTAAACAAATTAGTTTCAATCAATGTAAACTATTCGTGTGATTATGCCACTGCGCAATTCACGCGCAATACACACACAATGTATTACCTGAATGAAATGAAATCGAATGTATCGTCCTGTGGAATCATTCATTCACAGACAGCTTACGAAGATGTTCAACTAATAAAGATCTTCATCGCTGGCAAAAATATGATGCATTTGCAGATTTGCATTCACTAGACTAGACTGTAGATCGGCCACTTCATCCAACGCTCTTGATGCTCTTAAATCTTCCTGTTTCGACTCCGAGTGTGAATTGAAAGCGCTTCAGACGATTCAGTGCGCGAGGAACTGAACAGATCAACTGATTCGCCAACCGATTTAGACAGATCATCTGACAACTTGTTTGATGAAGTCTTTGAACAGAATCGACTCAAAAGAGTGATTCATTTGTAAATGAGCATCGCTCATGCCCATACAAAGGACACAGCGCGCTTGGAATAAACTCATTTAACAACGTATTGCATTAAAATAAAGTAACGAGAGGAACGTCGCCCAACGTAACAAAGTAAAAGTACACCTTGTGTCCCTGACAGGAAAATACCCTAGTGCGCGATCTGTGACAGTAGGCGCGGCGTCATACTACACATTAGAATTGCGCGAAAATATAACGATATTCGAAAAAGCTTTTTATGATCCCAACCCAACTTTGATTAACGGCGATATTTTTTTTATCGCCCGATAAGAGTCTCACGTTAACGCAGCACGTTAACGCCGATAACGGCCCAGCACTAATATATATATATACCGTATATATATATATATATATATATATATATATTTTTTTTTTACAGTATTTTGATTGGCTGTAATGCAGTAAATTATGAAAATCTCATTGCAAGAAAATATCAATGCAAAAATAACAATATTTTATTTTTATATTTATATTATTTATTACTTTACTAAATTAAATATTTTTTTAAAAAAATTTCAATGAAAAATGTATATATATTATTATATAGATATATATATATATCTATATCACACACACACACACACACACACACACACACACACACACACACACACACACACACACACACACACACACACACACACACACACACACACACACACACAGAGTATATATATATACAGGTATATGGCCTCACTTTAGTTTGGGGTCCACTTTTCACAATTAACTACGACTTTTGCCTCAAACTCCTAATTTTTGCTTATTAATAATTTGTAAGCTGTTAAGTTTAAGTATTTGGTAGGATTAAGGGATGTAGAAAAAATGTAATTTACCTCATTGGAGTGTGTGCGGTTCTGGTGTTTGGCTCGGTCCGAGGCGTTGGAGAAGGCCTTGTTACAGCCTTCATGCTCACACACGTAGGGCTTCTCTCCGGTGTGTGAGCGCAGGTGAGTTTTCAGATTTTCCAGACGAGAGTACGCCTTAGAGCAGCCCTCGAACTAAAACACACACACACACACACACACACACACACATTCATTAAGCTCAAATCAAACCATATCGTATATGCTCAAACGCTGTTACTGATTTAATGCTAATCATCATCTTTTATCCAAAGCAACTTGCATTGCATTCAAGGTTTTTTCTGAGTTCATGCACTGCATTTCGTTGGAAAATAACCCATGATCTACTGTTTGGATAAACAACAATATGCCCGACATAAAACCCTTTTATTTATCATGTTTAATGCATATGTGTGCATACAGTTGTGCTTATTTTATTCACTTATTTAAAAAAAATATATATAAATGCAAGTTCTCTTAGATTTGTATCTGTGTTTGGGGGACATTTACAGTATTTATTTATTTGACATTTTTTTAAGTTTTCTTAGCTGTAGTTTGGGGACGTTTTTTATTTATTTATTATTATTTCAAAAATATATTTATAAAGATTCATGTTTTAGGGTTTTATCTGTAGTTTGGGGACATTTTTATTTGTTAAATATTTAAAATATTTTTAAAAGTATAAAAATCCAATTTTTTTGTATCTGTAGTGTGGAAATTAGAATTTTTTAATTTATTGTTTTTAAATATTTTTTTCTCAGCTATAGTACATTTGCGTGTTACTTTTAAACTTTTAAAGTATAATTTTTTTTTTCTCTTAGGTCTTGGGTTAATCTGTACTAGTCATTATAATTTGTTTTCCATAAACAATAGAGGGTCTATGTTATGTGCTGTTATGGATGTCTTTAGGTGTGTGTGTGCAGTAGTTTAATCACGTTTGACTCACAGTGCACTTGTGCGGTTTCTCCCCGGTGTGTCTGCGCATGTGAACCACCAGCATGTACTGCGCTTTAAAGGGCTTCTGTTCGCGAGAGCACTCGTCCCAGCGGCACACGAACTCCTTCTTCTCCCCGTGGATGTGTTCGTTATTGATGTGCTGCGAACACACAAACACAACCATTCAGTTTCATTCTGCTACAGGAATCTCGGGTCTCACCTCCCTTTGTAATGTCAGCGTTGTGTTTAAGGTCTAATTGGCCGTTCCATGCACACACACACAAACACAAAAAAACCACGGCACAATTGGCGTCATTTGGACGCAAGGCTGCATCTATCAAGAGCTTGAGAAAATAAAGCAATTTGAGCTTCTGAGGAGCACATTTGCCTATCCGCCAATTGAAGAGCAGAGCTATCCATCACGAGCGTCTGCGTTCTCTACGTCTGTCAGACGGGAATAAGAAAATGTGATGGTGTGTGATTGTGAG